TATACAGAGCTTAGACCAAAAAAAAAAAAAAAAAGAAAATAAATACTACATGATTTGCAGGTGTGAAAGTGACCACATGTTTCACATTGAAAGCCAAAGTGATGTGACATGCTTTTGTTTCCGCTGTGTGATGAGACACCTAGCTAACAGATGGGAAGCCTCACTTTCGTCATTCACTGCATGAGCTGCTAGTAATACGGAGTCATGTCAGAGCTTACTGAGCTTCACAGAGGGCAAGTTGTTGGTGCTGCTTACCTGGTGCCTCTATGACTGAAGTTGCCAATTTATGTGCCGTGCGGTACAATATCAAAGTTATGATGGCATATACAGTTTCCGGGAAAATGTCGTTTGATAAGCAGAAGCGATTAACTGACCAAAAGAGACAAAAAAGGACACTGCACAGGATTGTGACCTGGAATAACAACACAACTGCTGTAAAAGTGACTGCAGAGCTCAGTCTCAATCCATTTTTGTCTAACCCCTGTACATTCGTGAGTGGCTATTGTCCACGATGTGTGTGTACGTCTTTAGTACATACATATTTTAGTACAAAGTGGCGCTTTGGCTGCACCAATTTAAAAAATAATTACTTCAAGTTCATCGACAATGAAACATGAGGTAATTAGGACCAACTTCAAGTTGGTGTACAGAGACAGGCAGAGTGCCTGTACACTGAGTAGCAGAGCAGCATGTTTGCCACCGATACCCCTCCCTTCCCCACCTGTCACTGGTTGGCTATGGAATTCGTCCACTGCCTCCTGTTAGTCACAAGGGGAGCAGACCTGATGGGGAACGATTGTCGCTCTCTGTGCAAGAGCTGCAGCAGTAGAGAGGGAGCTCAGTTTGCATGACCAGATGATTTTCATGAATCTGCCAAAACTCAAACGATGTAAATAGATAACCACGTCAATTAACATCACCAGAAAACAGAAATATCATAAATACAGTAATCTGAAAAAGTAGGTACACATCATGAAAATTGATGAGTTTTTTGAACATATTTTAACAGGCAAGCATTAGATATTCATGACAAGAGTACCTACAGATAAAAGGTGGTATACTTGAAGAAAGAAAAACATAAGTGTAATGTTGTATTCATTCTCATAACAATTAACAGAAATGCAGATCTCTCATATAAAGTTTACTGCCACTTTAAATTAGAATCAGGTGTTCCAAATTAGGTGCCAGTGATTAGACCCTCCTTGTGGAGTATGCAGGTAGAGGATCTGGTGTTCTCTTCACTATTGACAAGTGTTGGGTCATTATGCCAAGATCAATAGAGCTCTCTAAAGCCCTCAGAGAAGATTGTGAATGCCTGTAAGTCTGCCAATGGATTTAAAAAGGATTGACAAATTATCAGAAATCAATCTTTCCACTGTAAGATTAGAAAACTACAAGTGGCTTTGATGTCAAATAACTGCTAATTTGTCCTGGACTGACCTGACCAGCAAACTGAACCCCAGTGCTGCCAGTTGATGCTAAAAGAAGTCTCCAAGAACCCCAGAATTTTATTACAGGATCTGCAGGTACCTCTTGCAACAGTTGGTGTCAAAGTAAATATGCAAAACATATTGTACCCGTTTAACCTGACTGGAGAATGTGTCAAAAAAAAAAAAAAAAAAAAAAAAAAAAACCTTTCTTGTCCTAAAAGAACATTGGAACAAAACTACAGATCACCATTGATTATATAGGCGAAGTATAGGCCTTCTGGAAAAATCTAAATCTGTGGACTGATGAATCAAAGATAAAGTTGTTTTACATTAGACATGCATTTCATGAGAAGAACCTCAGAACTGTAAAACATGGTGATAGACATATTATGGTTTGGGAACGCTATAATGCTACAGGGCCTGGGTAGCTTCAGGTCATAAAATCAACTAAGAACTCTGTATGATATCAAAGTGTGCATTATAAAATGGAAGGCAATTTTCTGCAAATTGAAGTTTAACCAGAAATTGATTTTTCAGCATTATAATCATTTGAAAAACCGCCAAACAATTGCTCAAAAAGAAGAAATGCAGAGTTTTGGACTGGCCTAGGCAAAGCTCTAATCTGAACCCCATTGACATGTTGGAGGGATTGGAATCAAAAGGTTCATACAGGGAAGTCTACAGTACACACATCTTACAACTGAAGGAAATTTTCATGGTGGTGTGGTCAAAAATATCACCTAATCAATTTTGGAGACTGGTGGGCAGGCATCCAAAATGCCTAAAAAGAATTAATTTCTGCTAAAGAGGACAATACCAACTTTTGAGGTCATCGCTTTCCACTGTGCACCAGTACATCTACTGAAATGTTTGTTAAATAAATTGAAAAAGGCAATTTTTCCTTGTGTTTTCAAGTGAATCCTTTTTTTTTAATCTGTAGGCACGGTTTAAAATAAAGATCTAACATTTGCTGATCAAATATGTTGAAAAAGTCAATAATATCCATATGTTGTACTTATGTTTTATATGACTTTACATTCACATGACTGTACAAATTACCTTTTAGTTTTATAATTATGGGAAGAAACCCAACAACCTAAAAGGAACTCATGCAAAGCAATTTTATACAGATATTTTCAGACACTAACCATTGTGCAGAACACTAGATTAGGTTTAAAACCCATCTCTGGCCAAGAATCAAACGATGTAAATAAGACTGCAGCCCAGCTGAAAAAAAAAAAACCAAAAAAAAAAAAAAAAACAACTTGCCATAAGCCAGCCCTCCATGGGTCTAAATCCGAAAGAATTTTCTTTTGAAAATCTTTTCTAAGAATTTCGCACCATTAGTGGGCCACAGCAACAGCCAATTTTTGAGCGACCATCAAATTATTGGAAATTTTTTTAAAAACGAACAAATTTCTACTCAATGATGGGAGAATCATGAGAAAAATGCAACTGAAAAAGAAATGAGCATGAGCTGTGACCTGGAAATAAAAGAAAGTTGTTGGCCACAAAAATTATTTTCTGTAGCAACATGAGGTGAAATTAAAGGATTTGTTGGTTGAATTTCAAAATCAATGGTGGTACCATCGGATTAATAATTCATGAAATTTGTGATTTTCTAAAGAATTAGTTCGGAATTCGACCCATGTATGGCCTGCATTACTCCATGGTCCCCCAGGTTTCCTCACAACTAGTTCCATTTGTGACAACAGTTCCCTCAAAGCTGCTCTTCTTATCTATTCTTGTTGCCACCCTCTGCTAAATTCATCAAACATAAATTAGGACCAGTAGCCACCAATGGTACTGCATTGTACTTTAGGAAGTACAACCCACCCAGTACTTGAGAGCAAAGGAAAGAACTACTGGCTTACACAGGACAACAGAGTAAGGAATGCAGGAAGCAGTTCTCTGTTTCAGATCACCCCCTAGACCAGGGGTCTCCAAACTTTCTAAACAAAAGGCCAGTCTACTGTCCTTTGGACTTTAGGGAGGCTAGACTGTGGCCATTGGAAGTAGAAAATGTCCCAGCTTCAGTGGGAGTAAACATTCTTCAGGCTTGGTGGTGAGGAGTAAAAAAATGTTACAAAGCACATGTGGTTAGAAGGAGGGATAATGCCCCATCGCTGCTGTCGGTGGAAGGAAAGGCGCCCTGTCGCTGCTGTCGGTGGAAGGAAAGGCACCCGTTGCTGCGTCGGTGGAAGGAAAGGCGCCCGTCGCTGCTGTCGGTGGAAGGAAAGGCGCCCCGTCGCTGCTGTCGGTGGAAGGAAAGGCGCCCCGTTGTTGGTATCATTGAGAGGAATAGTGGCTCATTGCTGGTTTCAGTGGAAGAAACATTGAAATCATTGGAATCTGGGGGAGGAATTAATGCCCCACTACTGGTGTCAGTGGAAGGATTGGCGCTTCCTATCACTGGGAAGAATAATGACCTGTGTGCCAGATGAAGGCAAGCAAACAACCACATCTGGCCCATAGCCTGCAGTTTGGAGACCATTGCTCTAGACTAAACCCACATAATATTCTTCAGCAGCTGGAAATTATATTGTTTGATTCTTGCCCTGAATTTCACTTTAAACCAGGAAGTAACAAATGATTCCCAACTTAAATCTCAGTGCAAGAGAGCTTCTATCATTACCTTTAACATATAAAAGGAAGAGATGCAGATTTGTAATACTTCTGACAAATCCCACAGATGAACTTGTAAGTTCAAGGACAGACATCTGCCATACTGTTCTTTCCATTTCCTAGAAGTCATTACTGGCTCTACAATGTGTATAAGACACAATCCTAACATGAAAATTCCCAACGTCTTTGGGATTGATTTACTAAAGCTGGAGAGTGCAAATCTGGTGCAGCTACGCAAGGTAGCCAATCAGCATCTGACTTCAGCTTGTTCAATTAGGCTTTAAAAAAAAAAAAAAAAGCCGATTAGTTATTTTTGCAGAGCTGCACCAGATTTTGAATTCTCCTGTTTCTACTGTATCAACCTCTGTGTCACCTCTATATATGTTCTCATTCAACTCCAAAGGTTATGCCTATTGACATCCTTCCCTCCAATCACAAACTTCTTTCATCCAACCTTGTCTCACTTACACCTCCAGGACCTTTCTTGTACCATGTAAGTTGTTGGAACTTCAATACAAAAGATTTTAAGAAATAAAAAAAATTGAATTTGCCCACAGCTGAAATTCCATGACCTTTTCATCAATACAATGGCTTCCTTTAGATATTTATGCCTTCCGTTTTTAGGGAAACTGTTTAAGACAGGGCCTCAAAGGTCCTATGCAATAATGCAGTGCTAAGTTCAATGAATTTCTGCAGCATACCACAATAAAAAAAATCTTTTAGCTTATCCAGCTCCAGAAATGATTTGTCACTGCCTTATTGAGTAAGCTCAAGCGTGGCTCACCTATTTGTGCATGTTATGTAAATATTATATCTACACTACAGAAGGTAAGTCACTACTACTCTGTAAGTCAATGATAAAAACTTAAAATGATGCAAAATAATTGTATGGCGTACACATAGAAGTTGCTACATTTAAATATAAAACAAAATTACTCTTCTTACATTGAAGTATCCTGGATTCCACTGCCTTTAATTTTGACATTGAAGTTGGGCACCAAGAAGGTATCCAGCCAGTTAACCAATGAGATCTGTGTCATAAAAAAATAAATAAATCAAACAACTCACAATCAAGAGAATAACTTGCATCCATGAGCTTTCTATCACATTGGACCATGTTTAGCATTAAATAATAGCAAGCAGCATTATAAGGGAAACTTATAACCAGTATTCAGTGCCTAATAATGGCCACAGTAGTGCAGCCATCTCTCCACAAAGGCCATACAGAGAGTGACTGACAAGTGCAGAGATCTTGTATGACAAAAAAAATCTATATGACCAACCATCCAACACATGCATGAAGGGATACCTGCAGCTGCATCCAGTTCCTATAATCTAATACATGGGTGTCAAGCTGGAGGCCCTCCAGCTGTTGCCAAACTACACGTCCCATAAGGCATTACCAGAATGACAGTTACAAGCATGATTTCCAAAGGCAGAGGCATGATGGGACTTGAAGTTTTGCAACAGCTGGAGGGCCACCAGTTTGACACCCCTGATCTAATAGAAAACCAGCAGCTCATGCCATCATCTATTAGATATTGCTATATATGCCTGGGTATGAAATTGAGAGGCTATCTTCGTGGTACATGCCACCTTGTGAACTCTTATCAAATCTTTTTTTTTTTTTTACTGAGCATCAGAAGTACAGCTGTGACTATTCTTCCACTACACCATGACCGATCTGCCTGTCCCACCCCTCCTCCGTCCATTTACAAAATGCTTTATATTCTATGAGCAGCACAGTGGCTAAATGGCTAGCACTTCTGACCGGCAGTACTAGGGTTGTTGGTTCGAATCCCAATCACGGCACCACTTGTCTGGAGTGCATGTTGTCCTGTGCCTGCCCGAGTTTCCTCTGGGAACTCCGGATTCCTCCAACACTCCAAAGACATGCTGGTAGGTTAATTGGCTCCTCTCTAAATTGTCCCTAGTATGTGTATGTATGAATGTAAGTTAGGGACCTTAGATTGTACACCCCTTGAGGGTTAGGGACTGATGTGAATGTACAATATATATGTAAAGCACTGCATAAATTGTCGGCGCTATATAAGTACCTGAAATAAATAATAATATTTGGTGAATAAGTTCACATAATACAAAGCCTTCCATGACTGAGCAAGAGGGGTGGGCAGAGCAACTATAAATGACTCTGCATCATTTGTATGTGAGATTCAAAGGTCCATCAACAGAAGTATAGCAATAGCTGTACTCCCAGCACTCGGTAAAAACATAAATAGTAATTAAAAAATAAGTCCATGAAGTGGCATACACCTCACTGGACTTAATCTTTTAGAAGTGAGCAGAGTTTTAAAAGTACTGTAATTCCTAGAAGTCCTCTTGAAGTCAAGGGTTCTGAGCAACAGACAGGCACCTAGCATTTTTAGAAGGAGGTCAGCAATGGCAGCTTCCATATTTCTCACGTCTGGGTTATTGTAACTAAAGGCTTTTTTATGCTATTTACACACAAAACATGCAGAAGATTAAGACTGAATACCTTAGGTGTTCTGACTCTAGTCAAATACACCTATAAAAGAATGGAGAAGAAAATGAAAGACAAAATAAATGTCTACAGATTCACCAACCAGCCATGTATCACTGTTCACCCACTTCTCCATATTGTAATGACTGACACCAGCAAAGCTGGAAATGACCCTGTATATTATTATAATACAGGATTTATATAGCGCCAACAGTTTACACAGTGCTTTACAACATAAGGGCAGACAGTACAATTACAATACAAATTAATACAGGAGGGATCAGAGGGCACTGCTCATTAAAGCTTACAATCTGTATATTTCTCTTTTCTAAAAGGAGGGGACACAGCAGGAACATGTAGAGACATACAGTAGGTTCTTAACACCAAAGTTTAGTTAAACTATTTAAAATAAATAACTAAATAAATCAATCAGCACAACAGACAGTAGTTACATTCAATGAGAAGTGTCCCTTGGTGTCCCCTAAGTGTCCCCCCTTAAGTGCTGATGGCTGCTATCTTAGTTGAAATCTTCCATCCGCTGACCCCCTGTATCCACACATTGGTAATCTTATGGTGCTGTGGGGGTTAATATAGCCACTGGGCCTGTCATGGGTTCACCATAGTTTACAACAATGAACATCACTCTATTAATGGAGGAGGTGGACCTTTCATTCCTCCGTCCCTCCTCCATTCACATATCACATTTCATTGCTGGAAACTATAGAACACCTTCTATGAATGGAAATATAATAAGTCTCTCACTTTTGAAAAAGAGCAATGGCAAAAAGAATGTTTTCAGCCATATCTGACCTAAACCTGTCAGATTCAATAGAAAGCCTGCACTGCCAGCCTACATATTTTTACCATGACAGGCTCACTTTAACAGAGGCCCCCAGATAGCCAATGACAGCTGTCAAGTCTTTGCTGGGGAAAGGGAAAGAAAATTGTTGGCTCTACAAACTGATATAAGAGTACCCTAAACATATGAAGTCACCAGCCAAACAAGTGAGAGAGGGGTGTGGAAATTTTTGCAAAACAAACTACTTGTCCAGGGACCAAATCGGTGCCCCAATCTACTTTTCCCTCGTGACAACCTACTTGTCCTGATAAAAAAATACATACATTTTAACTAGGAATGCACTGAAGGTTCGGTGGCCGAAACGTTTCGGCCAAAAACACCCCTTTCAGCCGTCAGCCAATATGAAAAAGAGCACCAATACAGGTCCTGAAAAAACCCCGCCCCTTGCCGCCACCCATCGCTGCTGCCACTCAGTAGTTCTCAGCCTTAGCTGAGAAACCATTGAATCCCGGCGCTGGGCATAGAGATGAGTGAAGGAAAGATGGCCTCCACTCATCTCTATGCCCTTGGAGGACCGGAGCAAAGTCACTTCCAGTTCCGGACAATTTTTTTTTAAAGAACTAGATCAATGCTTTTTTGATCTAATGCTTTACACTGCAGAGGAGAAATGTGGGGTCTTATTGACCCAATATCTCTCCATAAAGAGGACCTGTCACTAATTATTTCTATCACAAGGGATGCATGCATTCCTTGTGATAAGAATAAAAAGTTCTAAAAAACTTTTTTAAAAAAGGAACAGTGCAAAAAAACAAAACAAAAAAAATTAAATAAATTTAAAAAAATAAAGTTTAAAGTGCCACCGTCCCCCCGTGCTTGCACATAGTAGGCCAAGCCCATATGTAAATGGTGTTCAAACCAAACCTGTGAGGTATCACCATGGACGTCAGAGCAAGAGCAACAATTCTCACACTAGACCACCTCTGTAACTTTACACTGCTAACCTGTAGAAATTTTTAAAGCATCACCCATGGAGATTTTTAAGTACCGCAGTTTCACACCATTCCACAAGCGTGCGTAATTTTAAAGTGTGACATGTTGGGTGTCTATTTACTTGCCGTAACATCCTCTCATATTTTACAAAAAAATTTGGGTACATATTTTGTTTTTTTTAACCCCTTCCCACCGGCGCCTCCCGTCCCTTTAAGAGTTTCAGAAGCTGGGAGGCAGGGCAGGCGGGGCGTGGTTTAGGGATCATGTGACCGCCGTGACGCGTCGTCATGGCGGTCACATGATCAGGAAAGGTCCCGATCGAAAGAGCAGACCGGGACCTTTCCGTGAGTACCGGACATGTGTGCTGGGAGCACGCAGGGCGTGCGCTCTCAGCACATATGTTTTTTCTTACCTGAACGTAAATGTGCGGCTGCTCGGCGTCTAGGCCCAGACACCGGGAGGCCACACATTTGTGTGCGGCCAGTGTAAAGGGGTTAAGCAAAGTGTATTTTTTTCCAAAAAATATATAAACATTAATTTTTAAAAACTGCGCATTTCGGTTTTGGCACCAAAATATTAATCTCGGTGCTCCACTAATTTTAACCCAAAAAAATGTATCTGCTTTAAGTAATGTCTGGGGCTTTTAAAAACAAAAGGGGCTTTATGGTGACTTAAACGTTATATATTTTTAACATTGCACTGTATATCTCCTCCTCCCCTCCATGCGTGTCGCCAGCACTGCACCTGGGGATAGCAGGGAGGAGAGAGACTTTGCAGTGTAATGAACACCAATTGGGTGCTTGCCAGGAAAGGGGAGTGTTGGGCTTACCCTTTATCCCTTTCACTGCCAGAGCTGATTTTGCATTTTTTTTGCACACGTTTAAAAAATAATTTTAGGCCTGAAGATTACACAAAGCTCCAAAACATTATATATTTTCTGAAATCAATATGAATAGAATGAATGGAGAATAAAATAGTGGTAGTTCCAATTTTTTATGTCACACGATATTATCACAAAAGCTCTAGTAAAAAAAATACACTGAAGTTAACTTCAGGGCACAAAAAGCAATAAATTATCCAATTATTTTATAAAATATAAAAGACGAGATTGCATCGAGTAAATAGATACCCAACACATCAAACCTTAAATTTGCGCTCGTGAAATGGCAACAAAAATGTGTATCACAATCGTTGTTCATGCGTAGGCGCCCCCAGCACATGCTTTTAAGTGCATACATATATGGGGGTGGGTAGCTTTGAAAAACTTTGGGAGGGGGGGGATTATATGTTTGGGTGCAACTTTATTTTTTTTTAAATAAAAATTTTTTTTTTTTTACTTAGCTTTTTTTTTTCTCATCACATAGGGGACAAAAAGTCCCCTATGTGATGATTTCGGGTGACAGGTTCTCTTTTTTGAGACATCCAGGGTCTAAAAGACAAGACCCTGCATGTCTCCCCTGAATGTAATGTAGTGCGCATGTAATTGTCCCAGATGTGTCCACCTTCCCCTCTGCCCTATACCCACCGACCGACACCCATTGAACTGGTCCCGGGCCTGCAGATGGGCAAGCAGAGCCCGGGACACATAGTGGGCTGTGTGGAAGCAATCGGGCAGCAGCGTTGCCGCCCGAATGCTTCCACTTGACCGCAGCAGGGCTAAAAGTTAAAAAAAAAAAAAAAAAAAAAAAAAGAAAACTACCTGCCTGGAACTACATGCCCTAGGCGTTACGTGATATGAATTGAACTTATGGATGCCCCAACATT